TCTTCTTCAGAAGGTTTCTGACATGAAATCAGGTATTCTGGACTCAACTCAGTCTTTTTTTTATGTCCAGGAGGACGTGAAATAATATGTTATCTGAGGAGCATGAAATCCTAAATCTCTCTCTGCCTCAGAACAGCAGCCTCCTTAGTTTCAGGAACTACTTTCCTCTCATTTTTTCTTTTCCTATACAAAGTCATTCCCAATTTTTTCCATCTAGTAATGAATTAAAGATGTGTTGCTTTTTAATGAATTTATTTATGTCTATAGAATCTTTTTAATGCTGTCTTACATACAGACTTTTTAAAAAGCGGTATTAGTCAAATTGAGGGCAAAGTAAAGAGAAAAACAGGTAGAAAACTTACATTTTGTCTAAGAAGTCCATGAGAGGTCTTAACACAATCTCTGCATCCATGGCTGAACTATTTTTATTAGATGTGGTATTTCCATTTGCTCTCATTTGATTTAGTTCAAAACTCATTTGTTTTATACATTCTTCAATTATAAGCTGAAAACTAAAAATAAAGAATAGAAATTCTGTAATAAAAGCAAATGTTTTCCCTGAGTCTGTTTTAATTCCACCCCTAGGAGTCTGATTTGTTTTAAATGGTGTGTATTCCCTTGCTCATTAGTTTTCAAACTTATTGTTCAACTGCACAAATTTTTATTGCAATGAAAGCTTGCTTGAAGCCATTATATGTAAAGCANTTTCTTTTTTTCTTCTTCTCTTTCCTCCCTCTCTTCTTTCTTCCTCTTTTCTTATAAATCCACTTGCCTACCTGCTTCCTGTTATCTACCTACTTATTCACTTATCTTCTAGATATTTCCCCAGAGACAGAAAATAAGACTTAATTTTTCTACCAAATATTAAAATTAAATTGTTAAGAACATTAGTCTTATTCATGCAATAAGATTATAACCAAAGGATAATGGAATTAAAGTAAAAGTCATAAATACACAGAAGAGATTCTCCCTACTAAACCTTTCTCTGTTGTCCTTATCTTTAAAGAAAGGCCTTGTATTTCTCTTTTTTATCTTGGTCCCTTTGGTATAAACTTGACACAACAGTAATAAATGAGATAACATCTATAACTACCACATAAGACACGGGTCTCTCGTTAGACATTCAAAATTATTATTTACTTTTCTACCTTCTGTGTATGAAATTATACCTTTAGATCAATGGTTCCCAATTGTGGACACATTTTGAAATATAGGTTCCTTGACTCTACTTCAAACTTACTAAATTAGAACTTCTGAGAGTAGGGACAGAGCAGAAGCATTAAAAAACAAACCAACCAAGCAACCAACCAACCTTTCTACTTAATAACACTGTCTTAGGTGGTCACCTACTCCCACCACTCTTAGACTGTGATCCTTGTGACATCAAGGACTTTACTCTCTTTTTCATTACTGTGCACTGTCTAGGATAGAGTTCGATACATCTGAGCACTTAATAAACAGATATTGAAGGTTGAGTCAGGCAGCTATCCGCTTGCCTCTGAGCTGAATTAATTCTAGTCACATTTGTGCTATTCTCTTCTTCAGAAGGTTTCTGACATGAAATCAGGTATTCTGGACTCAACTCAGTCTTTTTTTNTATTCCCTTGCTCATTAGTTTTCAAACTTATTGTTCAACTGCACAAATTTTTATTGCAATGAAAGCTTGCTTGAAGCCATTATATGTAAAGCAGATAAAAGTGATGCTCTTCAGGTTGAATTAATTTGAGTGGTGGTTCATTCAACCCCCATCTCTGACAGCATTGTTTGGAAAAACGGCTGCTCTAGAAAGGTTCTTGGCCTCTGGGTACATCTTCTCCACTTGGTTTCTGTGACTCCATACCCTCTTGGCTTTCCTTCAACCTCACTGGCTGCTCCTCCTTAATCGCTTGACCTTCAACCATCACAGTAAGGTTGCCAGATTTATCAAATTAAAAGCACAGGACACCTAGTTACATTTTGGATAGTGAATATTTTTTAGTATGAGTATGTACATGTAATATTTGGGACATATAACAAAAATATTCATTATTCATCTGAAATTCAGATTTGACTTTATTTTATCTGGCAACCCCACATTGTGATGCTCTGGGCTTGACCTTTGGACTACTTCACTTCTCCATCAACAAACAGTTCCTTGGCAATCTCATCTAGTTCCATATCATCTATATACTGGTGATTTGCAAATTTACATCTGCAGACCCGACTTGTACACCAAACTTTGAACTGTTTTATTAAGTTATGTAACCCATGTGATGTCAATCACCATTCTAAGCACCGAGGATACATCAACGAACAAAACAGGCACATCTTCTTGTTCTTGTAACACATAGGAGACATTTTATTTTAGCATGTATGTTATGGAAATATTTTGGTTAGCCTGTTGTCAAGTATTTCATTTTTCTAGCTTTTGTTTTTACTACTTAATAAGGAAATCCTTGATAGATTACAAATTATTATAATTGGGGTATTTCTCTTTCTCCTGGCCCTTTAGTAGAAGGTTTATCAATACATTGGTCCATAATTTTGAGCATGTATTCAAGGCCTGATTCTACTTACCACCATGTTTGGCCTCTCTCCATCTTTGGCTCCTGCCTTTTCTTTACTGTTGGCAACACCATTCTTGCCTGGCATCTGTATTTGGTTCCCCGATTCTTGGTTCCCCGCTGGACCCTATGAATGTGTCTCATTTCTGGGCTCTCTGCACATTTACCTGGTTCAATGGAACATTGTCTTCCAAGCTCTTGTCCAGGGGAATCCAAATCCCTGACCATTTGGCTTTTATCTGGCTGGAGTTGCCTTTGGACTTTCGTCAGGTAGTGGTGCAAGGGAGAGGGGCAGCAGGGGTGGAGAAAGTGGGGAAAATGACGGTGCATGTGGCAATGTGTGTATTTAATGGAGTAATGGAAGGCAAATAACATTGGAAATTTTGAACTAGTTGATTTACCACTGAATCATCCATGATCCTGCTAGCTGTAGTAGAAATCTCCTTTGAAACAGCTACTTTCCTTTGCACTGATTAACAAATTAATGCATTAGAGTGAGGGGATACATTGAGCAGAAGGTATGACATTTATATTTCAGGTATGTGGAAGCAGGTTCCTAAACAGTCTCATATTGTAAACTCCAATCAGAAGCCAGCTTCTGTGTGTGGGATTAGGGTTATGGAAGGAGGGTTCTCAGTGTACAATGGACAAAGATATTCTACTTTTGCATTAATCCAGGGTAAACAAACACCTGCACTTCACTTCACCCAAAAAGCCTTTTGTCTCTATCAATTTTTGGTAAATTCACCTAAAAAGTCTTCTCTTTTTCTATCCATTTTTTGCTTGAAAAAGTCTTCATTAATCAGCTTGAATAAAAGTAGTGCCAGTAAATAATGACAGACAAACACTCACAAAAGAATACTCAGGAAATATTCCTGAAATCTTTGTTTAGTTAATTCAGCCAGCTGTTGGTACTAAAGGAGTCAGTAAAAAAAAAGGTAGTAAATCAAAAAACCAAACTTGAAAATGTGGGTAAACAGAAACCTAAATGGCATGAGTTTTGCAAATTTTAGCATCATCTTTAAGAACATCTTTAAACTATTCCTGAAATGATATCACTTAGTCTCGGTTTCTAGGTGGGTGCCCTGTGAGTGTGTCAGGAACCCAAGAACCCAGGCTTCATATGTGTGGTTCAACTCTGCCCTGGCTTTACTGCAAAGTCATCTTAACAGCTACATATAGCAGAATTATTTAATTGTAGGTTTTAATAACAGAAGATCAAATGGATCTTGGCAATTAATTATGCACTTTTAAAGCTCTAGACTGCAAATTTAGCCCCTAGAAGGGTGGGTTCAGACTAAAGTTACCCAGTTTGACTTTGCAGTATGATCACACTGATCACTGTAGACTTCCTGCCCACCCTGAGTGTGATGTAGACCTGACTGGTAGTGTGGGAAATGAAGCCATGGGAACAAGGGTATAATAGTTATTCTTTTTATAAGGAAAGCATGACATGTGGACTGTTTATTCCAATAATCCCAATAACCCTAATTAAACAAAGTACCAAATTCTTACCTATATTTAAAAAATAATGAGGGAATGCATCCTGGGTAGCCATGAGTTTCAATATCTAGGCTACCACAGCTCACTTCATATACCTACAGCGCTTCCAGTGCCCTCCCAAGGGCATTGCTCCTTCTTTCATAACTGAAGTTTGTACAGATTTTTAAAAATCAGAATTTATATTTTAGCCTTTGTAACCTGAATATTCTCCCCTCTCAAACAAAATAAAAATTAAAACAAAATAAAAAGCACTTATTTATCAGGATGATTGGAATATTTTACAGCAAGTAACTTAAATGTACTTTATTTATATTCTAGTTTGTATTCTGTTTAGACATATTCCATAAAATTCTAAACACCTCTAGCTATTCTTGACCCCTTTTTTCTCTCCCAACTTTGCTAAATAATCTCTAATGTTGCCTTTCTAGCTGAAGTCAAAAGTCTTTCTGCAACCACATATTAGCTTACACTACAATGAAGAGAGGAAAGCCTGAAATGGCTGACCAAAGGCTCAGACACTAAGTATCACCCAAGTCAGAGCCAATGAGCCCCACATGTCTGGAATAATCTCTGACTTGCCAACTCCAGTTAAACAGAAACTTCAGATTTTTGGTTCACGTCCAGGCCAAGTAAGCGGGGTCATCCAGGTCAGCTAACAGCACAGAGCAGAGGCAGAGACTACCCTCTGCTCAGTACAGCAGGGCTGTACCTGAGATGTGAACTGAGTTGTTCTCCATAAAGAGAATGCCACATGGCTCAAGAGAGTTATGAACACACCTCTGATAATAAAGAAAAGGCTAAATATGGGCTTATTATTATTATTATTATTACTCTGCTTCACTCCTATATCTGAAGAAAAGATACGATGCTTTCAGTGTCTTTTTCTTTTTAGTCTTTCTAATTAAAAAATGGCACAACTCATCAATAAACATTTATTAATCATGTATCTTTCTAAAACACAATAGGTGATGAGTAGTGTTCAAAGAACAGCCCCCATTGTAAGAGCAATTTTTATAGTCTCATATGAGAACCGAACACATAGTTTCAAAATAATAAGTCGACATTTATTGAACTAATATTTAAAGCAAATTCTATATTAAATTAATGAACCTCTTCAGAGATGTATTTGCTTTCCTATGTTAACATTTGATAATGAGATAATGGCTTTTTCCCAGATCAAAACAAAATTTATCTAGGGTGAACTTTTTCTTTAGAACCATACCATCAACAAATAAAGTTGGTTTTTAAAAAATAGAAAAAAATATAGATATGTCAGTAGTTTCCAAACTCCTGCCCCGGGAAAAGTTGCATTCAGATTCTGAAGCCCTAAAACCAAGAATCCTGACATAATTTGGTATAAGGTTGGGAGTTCAGTTGTTCTGAAGTGCAACCACATTGATATGTGTGGCATGAACATAACATATATTTTTTGTTTATATAGTTTTTCTACCTTCCTCCTTCCGTCTCTCCATTCTTTCAATAGCCAATTGCTAAGCTCTAAATACTGGAATTGCAAATAGATATGAATTATGGCTTCTGCCCTTGAGGAGCATATACAAAAGTGAAGGAAGCAGAAAAGTAAAACAATACAAGTAAAAAAAAAAGTAGAACATAGTGATGCACATGCTACCCAATTGAAGAATGCATAGAGAGTTGTAGGGAGCACGTAGTGAGACATCGCTATTAGATTGTGGGATCATGAAAGAAGTAGAACATAGTGATGCACATGCTACCCAACTGAAGAATTCATAGAGAGTTGTAGGGAGCACGTAGTGAGACATCGCTATTAGATTGTGGGATCGTGAAAGACTTCAGAGGAGATGATGCTTAGATTGGAGTTGCAGTTAAATGGATTTAGCCAGTCAAAGGAGAGAACAGCATTAAAGGCATGATTATTATAATGTGAAACCTAATACGTTTAGATAATAACTATTTAGGACACTTACCTTTTGCCATAAATGACACTGAGCTCATCCAGAACCCCATTGAGTTTAACTTGAAGTTCTTTTAGAATAGTACTAGCTTCAGGATCTAGCTGCAGA